TCTACAATCTAGTAAGCTTAATACTTTGGATACTTCCCCTTTTATTCACCAGCCACCAGTGCAGTCTTCCATGCAGCCCCTGGAAGACTTTTTCAGGTTAATTCTTAGGTTTTAATACCACACGGTAATATCCTAGCTGTCCAAGCCATCAGGATTGCTGACTGACCGCAGCTCTGTATGTCTGCTCTTTCAGTGCTTTCATGAAGGTTCTTCTACTAGTTGGAGTTTTGTCCATTTCTATATCCTCCCCTTCAAAGCTTGGCACTCCAGGATTATCTTCTGTATCTGTGTTAATTGGGGAGCTCTGGTGACATAGTGCCTAAGGCATTTGACTGCTAACCAGAAGGCTGGTGGTTCAAACCCACTAGCGACTCCTCAGAAGGAAGACTGGGCAATCTATTTCCGTGGAGATATAGCCTCAGAAACCCAAGGGAGGTCATTATGAGTTGGAATTGACTGGATGTCAGTGAGTTTGGTTTGAAGAGGGTCTGTACAATCTGTCTGCCTATTTCACCATCTTACTGGAACTCTCCCATAGTCATCTTTTGTTAACCCTTATTTTATAATTTATCAATGAAGGAATGGTCAAGAAGAATCTATTCAAGTTTTATTATTATTATTATTATTATTAATATCGTGTTGGTGTCTTTCTATATGTTGTCCATGGAAGAAATAGTGGAACAGAAGCTGAGTTCACATTTAAGAGATACAATTTGGTTTTTGGTATAGAATCAAAACTATGTTTTTTCATATCCATTCCTTCAAAATGGAATGATTCATACTTCTTTTTTTCTACAAATAAATAACAACAAAGTAACCCAATCTCATTGCTATTGAGTCAATTCTAACTCATGGAGAACCCACATGCTACTGACTAGAACTGTTCCATAAGGTTTTCTTGATGGTAATTTTTACAGAAACAGATCTCAGGCATTTTGTTCCATGACAATGCTGAGTGAGGTTGAACCTCTAATCTTTTAGTTGAGCAACTGATCATAAACTGCTTATAACACTTAGAGGCATATTGATAAAGCTAATACCTAAATCAATTAATTTTTATTCATATATCTGTGGATCAGGAGCCGTTCATCTGATCTCGGCTGGGTTTTACTCCAGGCTTCAGGTTGGTTTCAGGTATTCACCATGTAACTATCATTCTTCTTGTGCATAAAAGAAAAGTTTTATCTTGTTTTTTGTTGGTCAGACTTTATTCAATACTATATAAGTACTGGAAATGTTGACATGAATATTTCCACTCAGGTACTACAAAAATAGTGACATTCTGGAGACCCTGGTAGGTGAGAAATATTTTAATCTCCTGGATGTTTTAAATGAGAAAAAGGACAACCTATCAAAGAACATCAAAGATATTTTCACCTATTCAAATAAGCAAATCATGGAAATATATTTAAAATATGTTGTGTTCTTGCAAGAGGTAAAACTATAATCAATGTTTAAAAGACACAGGAAGATATATTCCCATAGTTTTGTATATTTATAGAATAAATTTCTTCAATCAGAAAATTAGAAATATTTCCATTTTTTTTCATTAATAAAGGCTTCAATCAAAGTCACATCTCCTACCAGTTATTGCAAACGGGACAGGGAAGTGACATCTCTGACCGCCTCTAACTACACAAGAGGAAGACAGAATCACTATCAGTACCCCAAGGTCTGTTCTTATGAGGCCAGATAGGCCACCACCCTCCAGCCCTTTTACCAACTTTGACACCAATCGTCCTTCCCACAGCACCCACCACCTTACTGCTGCATTTGATAATCCACTGGAGTGGCCACGCAGAACTCACAGATTATAGTGTTTATCAGGTGTGTTACATTGGGTTCTAGAGAAACACAAAAACCAACAAAGCATATACATAAATATATATATATATATATATATATATATATAGAGAGAGAGAGAGAGAGAGAGAGAGAGAGAGAGAAATTTATCTTAGGAGAATGGCTCACAAACGTATAGAAGCTGGCAAGTCCAAAGTCCCAGGAGGAAACTTCAGTCTGGCAGCAACCTTAACTTCTGCAAGTGCAGGGGGCTGAGAAATTCAAGGCTGGCAGGCAGTGCACTCGTTGTTGACTCCAACAAAGACGAATCCAAGATCTTCAGGCTGAGCGGTGGGCTGCTCACTCACGGAAGTTTGTAGTCCGCATAACAGGGTTCCAATACCTCAGAGAATGTCTCTCTTCCCAGGATGTCCCTGGATATCTTGGAAGCAGGCCACACCCCTAGGGAAACTCCCCTTGGGCAGATTGGCCTCTCAGAACACAGTCATCTGATCCCACCATGGGAACAACCACACAGAACTGGGGTCCAGCCAAGTTGACACACAGCTCCAACTATCACATCAGGGAAGCAACAGGCTACAATTCAAGTTCAGGAACAACTTCAGTCTCTCTCAGCTGGCTGTCTCTCTTTCAGCTGGCAGTCTGTCTCAGTCTCTCAGCAGTGCATGTTTCTTGTATCTCTCTCTCAGAAGCATGACTCTCTCACGATTCTCTCTCAGCAACGTGTTTCTCTCAGCAACACATTGTTTAGCAGTCAGAGAGTCTCCTTCTGCCCCTAGGAGGGCTCCTTTTGAACCTGGTAGAGTGGCCAAAACCAACCAATGCCAACATCAGAATTATACACACCTAAGAGAGAGTGAACTTCCCAGAAGATTGCTTCATGTTGCTCCAACAGAAATACACCAGGTGGATAACTTTAACAATTAGCTACATGGTTGCTCCCACCAAAGTGGGAGTCACCAAGACTATGGCTAGAAAAGCCATACCATGTAATTTACTACAGCACAGTTATAAAGCAGTTATGAAACATAAAAATATTGTGGTGATAAATCTATGCAATAAAATACTATTGCTGACCTGCCTTGCTCCACCAAACCTAGGGAGAATCTGAGTTTGCATCATTCTTGGCCATTTGCTCCCAAGAAACCAAGAGGAGAATCTCTGAGCTCCTCTGGTAGGGACTGAATGAGAAAACTTTGTGAACAGAGGTGGTTTTGTATATAAAGTAACTGTAGGAGATTTGAATACTCTTTAATGTTCCCCTTCCCAATCTCTGAGGCATGAACCTGACAACTTTGTCCTCCTTAAGGACCTCACACATACAATAATAATAATTTTTATCCCAAGGCCCCAACATCTACTGCAAAGCAATAAGGAAAATAGAATTGTGAAGAAAACTATCAAATAGGTAACATTGATTTATTCCATAGTTTTCTAAATCTAGTTCCATTATAGCTCCCAAAGTAGACTTTTTGTATTAAATGACTGATAGATGCCTTTAGCCCAACAGCATCAAAAATCATCTAGTCTCAGTATTTTAAAATTCACATTCCCTAACTATACAAAAATCATTACAAGAGTTTGTTAAATATGTGGATTTTCATATACCACTTAACCCTGACCTACTGTCTAAGAATCCCTTGGAATAGGTTGTGTCATGTGTTTAAAAATCTCTCAAGATGATTCCAATGATCAGCAAAGATTCAGAAGTGCTCATTTAGTCCTTGCTTTAGAAATTGGTGAATGGGAGGCCAATAGAGACCCAATGAGTTTATGTCCAATCAGGGACAATAACCATGGTTTTACATGGTCCCAGACCAAGAGTTTATTGATCATAACTTCTAATTAAGATGTCTTGCTGCTTTTTAAACTTTTTTTATCTTTACTTCTGTGATTGCCACATTAAGAACTATTTTAAACATTAATTTCATAGTGTCCTTAATGTGAGAAACGTTTTCACACAAATACACACCCAGCAACCACAAATAGGTATACTGGATACACATATATAATAACTTGAAAAAACATAATTGTGGAAAGGATCATGAAACAATAGCAGAAAGACAATCAGTGATATGTTCAACTGTCATAGGGAGGAAAGAGGTCCAGGTTGCCTCTCAAGGTGAAGGAAAAATATATTACCTGGAAAGGTATCAGTTCACATGAGCAAGGCATTTGTTTTTTTGAGCAAAGTGAGCATTTTTGGAATATAAGGATGGAAATCTCATTACTTAAATCAAGGAAGCGGTAGAAACAATTCACTGTGTCCAGTATGGGTTGCTTCATCAAACACAGACCAAACCAAAAACAAATCCACTGTTATTGAGCTGGATCTGACTCATAGTCCTCTCCTCGGGTTTCCCAGGCAGTATCATTATGGAAGTAGATTGCCCAGCCTTCCTTCTGAGGAGTGGCTGGTGGGTTTGAATCACCAGCCTTCTGGTTAGCAGTCAAATGCCTTAGGCACTATGCTACCAGAGCTCCCATTAAACATACAGGAAATAGGTAAATTAATTAAAAAAATAAATAAAAATAAAAATAAAATTACTCTGTTGACTGAACCAGTCAACTATTTAATTGTCTTTGCTTTCATTCCATTTCTTGAGCTTTTTCTGTTAGTTAATTCTCACAAACAGGGACTGTGGCTACAGATAACACGTATAGATTAGAATTAGTTAACAGCACTGTACTCAGAGCCTAATGTAACTAAAAGGTGGTAAACTTGTCCAATATAGTTATTGTTTGGCAAAGAAAATGAGTTCTATACAAAATAATTGGTTTTGACTTTTTTTTCCCAAGTACCAGAGAATGAAAACATAAATTTTGTCTTTTAAGTTTGTGTTTTATTCTTTTTTTTTCATTCTTCACAAACTTTCTAGGTATAGGTATACCTAGAAAGATTGAATCTGTGTTTAGGAGTACTTTTATCAGCATATTTTTCCCTGGATGGATGCTAGTTTACACTTTTACACATACAACATATGATATTGAGTGTTTAATATGTGTGAATCCCACAGTTCCAAACAGTAAATACACTTTCTCTTTTTAAAGAACATAGGCAAGTATGGGGAGGAGAAAACACCATGTGTTTCTTCCAACAATCTGGCAAAGTTGTTATTTCTGTCTTCCTTGTATAGATGCCTTACACAAGACTGAAATAATTAAAATCCTGCAGTATAATATATCATTACTTCAAACTATTTGTCAGTAGCCTGACAGAAAACCTTTTTATGCCACAGTTTTTTCATTGCATTTTTTACTTCTGCATTTCTGAGCGTATAAATCAAGGGATTCAACATTGGGGTGATAATAGTGTAAAATACAGCCACCATCTTATCTTCAGCAAAGGTAACATCAGGGCGCATGTACATGAAAGTACAGGGACCAAAAAACATGATGACCACAGCAATGTGGGACCCACAAGTGGAGAGAGCTTTGCGCCTGCCTTCCGCAGACTGCTTTCTCAGGGATTTCAGGATGAAAGTGTAGGAGATTAACAAGATTACAAAGCCCCCCAAAGCAATGGATCCACTGTTGGCTGTCTCAACAACACCAATGACATATGTGTCTGTGCAGGCCAGTTTGAGCATAGGGTGGACATCACAAAAGTAGTGATCAATCTCATTGAGTCCACAAAAGGGGAGCTGAACCACCAAAGCCATCTGGATAACAGAGTGTAAGAACCCACCTATCCAGGTCCCCAGTATCATTTTACTGCATGTGTCCTGGTCCATGATGGTCATATAGTGAAGAGGTTTACAGATGGCCACATACCTGTCATAAGCCATTACAATAAGAATGAAAACCTCAGTGGGACCAAAGAAATGTACCCCAAAGAGCTGTAATATGCACCCTGTGTAAGAGATAGTTTTTCTCTTGGCTAATAAGTCAACAATCATCTTGGGGGCTGTAACTGAGGAATAACAGATGTCTGCAAAAGACAAATAGTTCAGAAAGAAATACATGGGAGATTTGAGAAGGTTGCCCATGTGTACTGTCAGCATGATGAGAAAGTTTCCCAGCAGAATAGCCATGTAGAGCAAAGAAAACACCACAAAACAAACTCCTTCCACCTTTGGGTTCTGAGAAAGTCCTCTTAAAATGAACATAGTTACATTATTTTTCTTTTCCATGGAATTAGTCCAGGAGCCCAAGTTCCTGAGACAATTAAATAGTCTGAAAGAAATAAAAAGGACCAACAACATTATTTCCATTGTAGAAAACAATAGATAATCACAGTATTTGGAAATAAAAAGTAGGTACTTACTAGTGTTTGGTGTGTATAGTAAGAGATATTGAAGTATATATTCTGACCATGATCCTTCATTCAACCACCCATTCATTCATATCACATGAGGAAACAAAGTCCTCTTGTGAAAGATCAAGCTAATCCCTTAATCACTCATTAAGCAAAGAGCTCCAACTCCCTTGGCATTGTTTAAGATTTATTAACTTACCTTTGAACATTTCTTTAGTTTTCATTTTCTAAGAGTACTAAACTTGATATTGAAACAATGTCTGTGTTTGGAATCCCTTGGTAGTGGAAAGTGTTAATATCCCTAGCTGTTACCCCAAAGATTAGAAATTCAAGTCCACTCAGAAGCACCTTAGAAGAAAGACCTGGTAATCTCCCTTCAATCAACTGGCTACTAAAAACCTTTAACTAAAATCCAATGCCATCGTGTCAGAGCCGAATCATAATGACCCCTTCTTGGTTTTCCGAGGTGGTATCAATACGGACATAGTCAGCCCAATCTTCCTTCTGAGCAGTGGCTGGTGGATTTGAACCACCAGCCTTCTAGGTAGCAGTCAAATGCCTTAGGTACTATGCCACCAGAGTTCCCAAACACCCTTAACGAGTAAAATAAAAATTAAATTAAATTAAATTAAAAATCTGCGTTAACATAATTCTCTCTTAAGAAGCATGGGATCAACTTGACAACAACAACTCAAAAGATTAGATAGGAGCCTTAGAGGGAGTAAGTTAATGTCAATGTGGAAGAATCAAGTCACTAAATAAGGTAGAATAGTTGCAAAACTCAAAGGATGTAATCAATGTCACTGAACTGTACATATAGAATCTGTTGAATTAATGTTTTTCTGTGTACATTCACAAAAACAATAAGAAAATAAATAAAATGAAAACAAAACCATACAAAAAAGTCCTATGGATGTTTATGTGCATGTGTTTGTGCACTTGTACTTGATCTGAAGCTCTTGACAATCACTATGTTGTGTGATGTAATCAAGAGTTGACCAAAGCTATACCATTCTGACTCAGATAATGGTGCTGTTGTTGGTGCTGATTTTATTAGGTCCCGTGAAGCTGATTTTTGCCTCATAGAGATCCCATGTGCTGAGGTCATTGAAACCAAATTGTGCCGTCATCTTGGGTAAAACATTTAATATCATGGGACTTCTGTTCCCATATTTGTGAAATGAGAAAGTCCTGATTTCATTATCCTCTCCATCTTTCTAAGAGTTCTTTCTACCATGAAATGAAATAATTTTGTTAACTTAGCATAGCCACATAACCCCCTCAGAAGAGAGGCAGGGATAAGGGAAGAAAATGCAATAAAATAAAGCTGGGCTAAACAAAGCAAGAGCTATTTCATTTGAAAGGAGGTGAAGTGAAGATTCAGGTAATTTATTTTGCCTTGGTATTTCAACACTAAATACCATGAGGGTGAGTTGGGAGTATGGAGGAAAAACCTTGTCCTTTAATCTCCTCAGTCCTTCATGCTTTCTTCTAACCCTTCAAATTTCATCATTGCTTATACAAGTTCTCCCAGTACTGGTGCAAAGATAAGCAGTATTATCACTCATACTGAAAAATAAATATTATGGATGAGGTCATCACTGAAAGAGAATTCAAATAAGCATATGAAGAGCAGGAGTTCTGGTGGGTCAATGCCTGAGGCATTTGACTGCTAACACAAGTTTGGCAGTTCAAGTACACCAGCCACTCTGCAGAAAGAAGATGGAGGAATCTAGTTCCTTAAAGATTTACAGCCTTGGGAACCCAATGGGAGTTGCTAAGTCAGAATCAAACTTGCAGTGGGCGAGTGGGTATATGAAGAGAATGATATTAAATCTGAATGATGAATTTCCTGTGATGAAATTTCAGGCTCTTTAGAGTGTCACTATAGTGGTAGGTTTTTATTTTTTTAGAGTGGTAGAGTAGAAAGGACTATGTGAAATAGTTTTGAATAAAGGAGCTTTTCACATGCTTCTACAAAGCAAGCCATAGATGCAAATGATTCTTCTAACTGCAGGTTAGAGTTGGTTTCCACACTATCTTTGGGAAGCCTTAGGAACTTTGTCTACCAGAGTAAGGCCACCTCTCTTCAAGATCCCTGTTAATTTTAGTGCCTACAGCTCTTATTGAGCTCTGTGCTCTCAGCTCTTCCTTTGTGGAAACTTTGTACAAGGCATGGGCAATTTTAGGAAACAATGGGGCTTTATCTTATGAGTACAATTCACGGTTGTTGGAATAGTCATTAGATCTGTGCCTTCCCTTATACAATCCAAAATGATGATCATCGTTACCATCATACTATCATCCAGACTCAAAGCCTGAGAACCTCTATCTGCTTTTGCAAGGTGTATCCCCTTTGATTTTTACTTCTTATTGAAAAATAGTAATAATTACTATTCTACCTGAGGGAGACCGATTCAAGGGTTCCCAAACCATAGCATTTTCCAACAACTGTGAATTGCGTTACTTAAATCTTACACAGCAAAAAGCTCTTTACTTAGGTTAAAACTGAGTTATGAAGCCACAAGTTTCTAGAGGACTCTTGCATTGTTCTTGGATCAATATGCATCTCAGAGCATTCCTCCCTTGCCTCTTTGTGCATTTCAAACATGATAAAGCCTCACTTCCTTTAGAAATTATAAACTTTAGATTGGCAATTTCTCATTTCATATTCATGCCACAGTATCTCATAGTCATGAATAGCTCCTTTATTACTTATTGTCATCAACTTAATAATTTTATTATTTCCTTACTTCTGTTACAATAACTTGCATATTCATTAAAGATGCTCAAAATAGAGAAATTTGATAGAATTGTCATTTTCCACAGAACTTCTATACAGATAATTTCTTTTTTTGGGGGTGGGGGGACAAAAACACTCTCACCAGTATTTTCCAAGGCTTGTGTTTTGATTTTTTTTTTCTGTGTCTTCTTGAGATAATTTGACAGCAGCTGACTTGGGAATTGTCTTGTGCAAAATTACTGCAAGAGTCTCTAACCCCTAACAGTAGACCACTCATAGAAGTCAGTATTCATGGCTCCTGGTTCTGTCTCTCACTGAAATCTGCCATGTCACAGGATCTTTGGTAGGAAATGCTCTTTTTTCTACTTCTTATAAAGCCTCTTTCAAGAGAATGATGCAAAATGTTAATGACGTCTGGGAAAACCTCTCCCCAATGTTTTCCTCCACAGAGCTGAAGGACTGAGACTTACAGTGAACCTATCACTGAGCCTTAATTTCCAGATGTATTTTCACTTCTTAAAAAAAATAAAATAAAATAAAAAACTTGTCTCAAAACTAAACTTAAAGCCCAATAAACTTTTTTTGACTTTTCCAATTTTTAGGCATAACTTGAATTCCTTGATTCATGGTCCATTTTCTTCATCTTCAAAACTGGAAGTGTACATTAGATCTCACAATGATTCTAACCTCCTCCTCCACTTTTAAGAAAACTTGTGTTTACATTGGTCTCACCTGGAATACCCATCACACTATCCTTATTTTAAGATGAGCTTTTTAGTAATCGTAATTCCATCTGCAACCTTAATCCCCTCCTTGTCATATAACAACATGTTCACCGATTTTTAGGATTAGGACATGGTCATCATTGGTGTACATCAGTCTGCTTACCATAGTTACTTAGTTGATTTTTTTTGAAAAGTCAATCTACCTTCTTTTTTCCCACATCACAAAATGTGTGTTATGTTCTGTGAGATCTTGAAAAATACGCTTTGGAAAAATGCTAGATAATATATATAAGTAATTGAATATTAATGCCAAGATGGTATCTCAATGTTTGGATTTGCATCTCTCTAATGGCTAATGAACTTGAGCATTTCTTTGTATGTTTGTTTGCCACCTGAATACCCTCTTTGGTTAAGTGTTTATTCATGTTCTCTGGCTGTTTTTTAATTGGATTATTTGACTTTTTGTTGCTGAAGTGTAGGAGTTTCTATAAATTCTAGAGATGAGCCCCTTGTCAGATATGTCATTACCAAATATTTTTTCCCAATCTGTAGGGTCTCTTTTGACTCTTTTGGATAAGACTTTGGAAGCTCATACAAATTTAATTTTTAGGAGGTCCAATTCATCTCGTTTCTCTTCTGTTCTTTGTGCATTTTGGGTTAAGGCTGATAGTCTATTTATGCCATATATTGTTGTGTTATATATTGTCTAGTCAGACCTGACTTATTGAGATGCCTCCGTTAGAGACCCTTGGGTTTCTGAAGTGGTATCCCTACAGAAGTAGATTGCCCAACCTTCCTTTTGAGGAGTGGCTGGTGGGTTTGAACCGTGAACCTTCTGGTTATCAGTCAAGTGCCTGAGACACTATGCTACCAGAGCTCCCATGCCACATACTAGGGGGCTTAAATTTGCCCCTAGTTTTTCCTTGAGAAACTTTGTAAGTTTAGGTTTCCCATTTAAGTCTTTGATCCATCTGAACTTAGTTTTTGTGTATGATGTGAAGTGTAGACCTTGTTTCATTTTTGTGCAAATGGATATCCAGTTTTGCAAACACCATCTATTAAACCTGCATTCTCTTCCTCATTTAATGGATTTTGGTCATTTGTCAAAGATCAGCTGATCTTACTTCAATGGATCTATTTCTGGCTTCTGAATTCTATTCCATTTGTCTACGTGTCTGTCATTGTACCAACACCAGGTAATTTTGACTACTGTGGCTGTATAGCAGGTTTTGAGATCTGGCAGTGTGAGACCTCCTACTTGGTTCTTCTTCTTCAATAATGGTTTGCTTATCCAAGGTCTCTTTCCTTTCCATATAAAGTTAGTGATTGGTTTTTCCATAACCCCAAAGAATGTTGATGGGATCTGGATTGGGATGGATTGAATGTATTATTTGCTTTGGGTAAAAC